GCAGAGAGCCCAAGAAGGACAGGGGGCCAAGGAACCCCCGAGCTCCCCGTCCCAGGCTGGCGCCGTGGGCCAGAAACTCACCCCAATGCTGGGTCTCCTGGCGCCGAAGGATCAGGCTTCCTCTGCTTTAATTATTAAACCTGAACTATTACACAAAAAGAAGAGTAAGATATGGTCAAAAGCAACAGGGGATTCCAATGTATAATATATTCATTCACAGTCAGGACTTGAGGATTGCAGATTATTCTGGTAGGCCTGGCTTTAATGGGATTAAGCAGGGAATCCATATAGTAGCAGAGATGCAGGAAATAGGTCTTTGTGGTTAGACATTGCCCTGGTGAAAAAAAGATATGTAAATCTAACAAGGAAAAACAGAAACCCTAGGCCTTCTGTGTACGTATATGTGTGCGTGTGTGTATGTGTGTGTGTGTGTGTTGCAGCCATGTAGATTGGTCTTCTTGTGGGACTCCTAACAATGGCAACAGGGGCTATCTCTGATGCTGTTGCCTACTTTGGGGACCCTTTCTGCCTACCAGATTACCTCATCCAGCCTAAATAAAACAGGAGATGCCTAGTCTCACTGCAACTTGATATTCCATGATTGACTGAAAACCATGGGAGGCCCACCCTTTTCTGAAGAGAAACAGAGGAGGAAGAGTGGATGGAGTACAAGGCAAGATGGAGAGGAATGGGTTAGATTGCTGGGAATTTCCATTTTACTGGGTTTATAGCTCATCCCAGAGATGTCCCAGAAGCCAGCTGTCTCACTCAGTACCTCTCTCTCCATTTTCCCCTCACCTGATCCATTCTGTTCTCATTCCTTGCCCCCATCTAGACCCCTCCCCCATCCATCAATGATGTCTATTCTATTACCCTTTCACAGTGAGATTCTCAAGCCCCATTGTGACCCCTTGTTAATTAGCTTCTCTCTGAGCCTGTGATGGTAGCATGGTTATCCTCTCTGGGCCTGTGATTGCATCATGGTTACCTTACAGCTAAAAATCACTTATACGTGAGTACATACAATAATTGTCTTTCTGGGTCTGGGTTACCTCACTCAGGATGACCTTTTCTAGTTCTACCCATTTGCAAGCAAATTTCTTTTACTTTATAAAATGGCCTACATTCTATGGATGCCAAGCATGGGATATCCTTAATGTGAAGTGGGGTATATTTGAAGTTAGTGAGATTGCCCAGTAGCTATGTAAGCTTGTCACCAAGCTTAATGTGGGTTTGAACCTAGTGTTTCTGAAGGTAAAAACAAGAAAAACAACTCGGACAAGCAGCCCTCTGATCTTTACACCATATTTTCTATCAGAGCACACAGGGAATGCTCAGCAATTTGTGATACTCATAAACAGAAAGATATGCATGACTGTCCAGTGTACAGCATAGTCTTCCTACTACATGACAAGGGAACACACTGTCTGCAGAGCTATCACTATGAAGTCCAGCTCTGCCTTCAGGAGACCTGAGTTTCAGAGTGTCTCCAGACAGAATTGTGTTTACTTTTCTGTTTATGTGTCAGGTTCCTTACAAACCTTCTTTCACTTGATATTTATCCTGTGATAAATATCTTTGCAACATGCATTTCACCATTACTTTTCCCTGCTACTGCCCTGTCGGAAATATCTGAACGCATGATCATGGCCTTCAGAGATTAGGATACGAAAATACCCAAAGAAAAAAACAGGTTAGACAGAGGAGGACGTCTTTTAGACAGACCAAGAAAATAAAGTTGATGCTTTATTTAGAACGAGTTGAGAACTACAAGAGTTTTTATTTGAATAGGAGCTTTCTTCTAGGAACCTTCTGACAGATGTTGCAAATGTAGTTCTCACTTCATATCTCTTGATCAGCCACTATGGAAGCACACTTGGCCTTCACCTGATTCTTTAGTTTCAAAGAGTTTATCTCAAAGAGAAAGAAGATAACACCAAAGAGTGACATGGTGGCAATCAGTACCCCTATTGGGAACACAACAGTATAGTGTTTGCTTATTAAGGCTTCTTTTTTAACCGGAAAGTCAGGTGGAAAGTCAAGAGTGGTTTGGCCATAATGATCTACAAAGTGGTTCCAGCTCACAGAAACAAATGTGAAGATGTTGCTAACACACAATACTAAGGCAGCAACCTTGTAGAAATATAACTGCATCTCAATGAATGGGTCTTTCATGCAGCCGATATTAATGGCGATTGCACTGAAAATTAGAACTACAGGCTTCATCGTAACAGCCCACATTATCAGGGTCTGTGCGTACTGAAATTCAGGTGAAATGGTCCACGTGGAATTGATAGGTGTGTGCACCAGAATCTTGGTCACAGTGCCTGAAACATTAAATTCTTGAGGGTAGTAAGCTTCCCACAGGCCAAAAGACACGAATTGCACAAGCTTGTCATTGAATTCCGCGATGCGCCAGAATTGGCTGCTTGCGATGACTATCTCAAACACCAAGGCTGATAGGCTGCAGAGGAGGCCACTAAACTTGAAGAGGTACTCCTTCGCATTGGCAAGTCTGAAGATGAAATTGAACAAGTATATAGTCAAGTCAGGAACACAAGGGACAGTGGAAAACAAAATGAGTCATGGTTTACAGAGGAATAAGTTCTCATACCTTGTCCTTGCTGTCACAAAAAGTTGTATTTAAGTAATATACCTATGGCCAAAGTTTCCTCTATATGAGGTTTTGATTAGCAATTTCACTATATCTATCAAATGGTGAAATGTGCAAATTTGTTAACTAAACATGTTAATGCTTGGAATTAATACTCAATAATTTACAACACATGTTAAATGTTTAATTAAGCAGTGTTTACAATACATAAATAAGATAAATAGCTTAAATGAGAGGTATAAGCAGAAAAATGCACAAATATCTATAAATTATGGTAGTGAACTTATACAAATTTAATTCACCTATATTGTCTGCTATATTTCTACATGTGTATGCTAGTGTATGTGTTATCGGAAAACATATTGGAAAACCTGAATTATTATTATGTGACCAAAATTAAAATCTGTATGTGAAACATGAGCCCTCATGAATATTTCAATCATTTCTCATGACTTACTCAAACATACACATTATAAAATTACCTTCATTTCATTGCTGAATATGAAGTATCCCAACTGTCCTATGTGAGAAACTATCTTCTCAAGCACCAAATTAATACTATACATTTACTGTATCCACCAACTTATTTAGATCACTTATTGGTTCATATCTTTGGATGTAAGGTTAATGTTCATGAAATAACTATGACCTGAAGGATGTCACTGTGTTCTTGAGCATAAATAAAGTTCAGGCATGTACATGATAACATTGCCACCTCCAATGCAGAAGGTTTGAGTGCACTACAAACTGTCCCTCCTTGCCACAAAAATTTTGCTACCAGCTTCCCACTATTCCCCATTCTCTGTGGAATGTACTTCCTAACAGGGTGAAGGCAGTAGCTCTACTAAATTGGGAATTCATATCAGCAAGGTGACTTTAAAATCTAGTATGAATTCAGTAACACCCTACCCATGCCCTCTTCCTTGTTAAGGCAGATCTGAGCCTTTTGATGTCAGAATCAGTGAGTTTTGAAGCACAACCAGAATCAGGGTGGAAAATTCTGTTGTGCAAGACAAATGAGCTAGCATGGCAAGATTTAGTTTTGCCCATGTCTGAAACCTATGGAAGAGGTGCTTATGCTTCATAAAGATCCAATTTGAAACCCTCCATGAAGCTCATCTTAAGCTTTTACCATTGTTTTTCAAGGAGGAAGAGATCCATTTGAGAAATGTCGAGGTCATAAATATCTTCCATATAGCAGGAAATGTTGAACAGACAGGGAGTCGCACAAGAGTTGAATCACCTTCAGTAAAAGAAGTTCTGTGAGCCAGATATTTCAGCTCAGAATGGTGTCTCACCATCAACCCCTGGTTCACACAAACCAACCCCTTCCTCTGCTTTGCTTAGTTGAAGCCTCATTTATACTCTTCAGGGATATTAGCCCATCTGATAGTCCTGACCCTCCAATGAGATTCACGCAATCATTACCCCATTATATAAACAGAAAAAAACCACAGAAAGTCTAATTCACATACTCAGTTTCAGGAAACTACAAATGTATAAAGGTCAATACAGGCTACAGAGCCTTCACAGCTACACAGGGATTCCCAGTACTTATATTCAGTAGAGTTTACTGACATAGAAATGATATCAACAAAGAGTTGAATCTTAGGTCATTGACTTCTTTGACCTTCTATGTCTCCTGAAATTGAAAGTTTTTAACAGAAACCATGTAGAAAACATAAAATACTTGCCTTTCTTCCCTTCTATGAAGGCTAAATGCTAGTGACTGCCCAGTATGAGAGAGTGACTTTAAAAAATTCTTGTTTCCGTAGCTACCAGAGATGAATGTCACATTATGAGCAAAGAACCAAAGTCAAGACATATAGTCTTAAAGGGCCAGAGTGGTTAATGTCCCTCTCATATGTACAAACCTTTAGAGATATAATTAATCTATTAAAGGTATAAATTAATCTAGGATTAATTTGAAAAAATTCTCATAAAATAAATTTATCATGATTTCTCCCTTCAACAACGTTTTCGACTCCCTTTGTTTCCCACATCTCTACCTGCCCACTTGTCCAGTCTTTGCTTTCTCTATCTCCCTGAAAAAATCTTAATACTAGAAAGATGAAAATACAAAATGAACACATGGCATAAGGTTTGCATTGGCCAGCTACTGCTAGTTATGAAGCCTACACTGGAATGTATTGAGTATTCCCAGTTATATTCCATTCAACAAAACTGATTTTTTTTTATTTTTTTTCTAGGCAAAGAATTTTATTAACCCTTTTCCAAACTTTATTCCCAGGCTTCTTCAGCTTAATTTGCTGCAAAGAATGAATTGTGTTTAAGCAAAAACTGAAAAGAGCTGCAGTGTCCAAGGGGCTTGGGCTTAAAAATATTAGCGATATAGATTTGATCAGATCCATAAACAAAAGACCTTTTAAAAGCAGCCATGATATAAAATAGCAGCTCCTGTAACTTCTGCAAGTGTCAGTTCTTCAGAAGACGCCTCCGTACAGTTTGCCTCATTCTTAGAAGCCTCTTCAAAATTTTCCACCAGATCTGGGACTTCATCATCATCATCCTCTCCAGTAGCAAGGGGTGCTTTTCCATCCACAGATTGTTTGGGCAGAGCTTCAGCCAGTCTCCTTAAACTAGTCAGACTGTCTGCCCCAAGCTGGTTTAGAATGCTGGGAAGCATTTCTGTCAGTTGCTTTGTCTCGGCGTGGCCTGTAACGGTGAAGGTGTTTGCTACCAGAGACGCCTGAACTTTAGGGTTGTTAAAATGGATCACTGTTCCTTGGTTTGTGAACATGTTCACCTCTTCAATACCAGAGAGCTTCTTTAAGGAGAACTGCAGTTTTTTATCATCTGCTGTGGCTGTTCTGTGAACCACCTTCTTCTTTCTGCGAGCAGTTCCTTTCCCACCAATGCGCACTTGTGCCTGCAGCTTGGCCAGTTTTTCCTGGTTCATGATCATTTCTTTCATCTTGTCGGAGTGGAAATGGGGCCATTCGGGGGACTAGGGTTTGCGCTCAGGGGGTCTCGGGCGGACCAGCTGAGGTAATGTGCACACATGCAGGGACGCACGGTGGCAGCTCTGATCTTCTTTTTCCAGCAAGTATCAATTGCAAATATCTTCTTGGTTAGTGGAGATTTTTTGTGTCTGCTACACAGTTAATAATACTGGCATATGGTCTGGTTTGAATGGGTATGGGTCTTGTTTGTCCTTTCAAAGTCTCCTTCAGTTCTCATGTGGTATCCGTCTTTTGTCCTGAGCCAATCATGTGTTAGATTCCTGCAAACACGGGGTCGAACTGAAGTGTAGAGATGGATCAGATGAATTTGTATTTGATGAAATCTGATGTAGGACTTGCATGACTACTGGTTGGGTACACATAGGCATCCTCCTGAATATTAACCTTCATCAGGCGATGAAAGGAGACAGAGACAGAGACCCACATGGGAGCACCGGACAGAAATCTCAAGGTCCAAATCAGGTCCAGAAGGAGAGGGAGCACAAGCAAGGAACTCAGGACCGCGAGGGGTACACCCACAGACTGAGGCAATGGGGATGTTCTATCGGGAACTCACCAAGGCCAGCGGGCCTGGGTCTGAAAAAGCCTGGGATAAAACCGGACTCTCTGAACATAGCGGACAATGAGGACTACTGAGAACTCAAGAACAATGGCAGTGGGTTTTTGATCCTACTGCACGTACTGGCTTTGGGGGAGCCTAGGCAGTTTGGATGCTCACCTTACGAGACCTGGATAGAGGTGGGCAGTCCTTGGGCTTCCCACAGGTCAGGGAACCCTGATTGCTCTTCGAGCAGATGAGGGAGGGGGACTTGATCGGGGGAGGGGGAGGGAAATGGGAAGCGGTTGCGGGGAGGAGGCAGAAATCCTTAATAAATAAATAAATTTAAAAAAGCATGTATAAATTCTAAAAAAAAGTAAATATTATTGTATCTCAAAAAAAAAAGAAGTGTGGTTTTGAGGCTGTGAAATGTTATTCTTGGAAAATTCCCATGCAAAGCCAATGCACAGTTGGCTAGTCCAGACATAGCAAAGGATAAGTTGAGTGTCATGAGGAAAACTGATGACTGATTCTGCATTCAGGTCTAGGGCTTTATATTTGGAGATAAAGGAGGTGTATATGGAATAGGGGCACTCACAAGGCAAGGCAGTTACATAACGGTGTGATCAGAAGTAGGACTGGGGACATGGGGATAACTCTGACAGCCGAGGTTTTTGCAGTAGGAAAATGGCTAAGCAATGTGTGTATTGAGAAGTAGGTATCATATCAAGGCACTGGAGCAAGATCTGTTCTTATGGTACATGGCAGAGAAAGCCAGTGAATGAACTTGTGTTACCAGAGCAAAGCCACGGAGTGTGGAAATGGCACAGAGCAGAAGAGGTTATGGGGAAAATCATCATGGAAATTAGTGCTTAATCTGTGTTCCCACAGATAGGACTTGGGACTATGAAGAGGACAAGAACATGAGTTTATGTCTTATGGATCCATCAGGGAAAGCTGGTATAGAAACTATATGATGAGAAGTACTATTAAGAGCATTAGGATTAAACAGAAGATTCAAGTCATTGTTTTTTACTGCTGAGTAGTACTCTAATAAGTATATATTCCATACACTCTTCATCCATTCTTCCGTGGAAGGGCATCTAGGTTGTTTCCAGGTTCTGGCTATTATAAACAATGCTGCTATGAACATAGTTGAGCATATACTTTTGTTGTATGATAGGGCATCTCTTGGATATATTCCCAAGAGTGGTATTGCTGGGTCCAGGGGTAGGTTGATCTCAAATTTCCTGAGAAACCGCCACACTGCTTTCCAAAGTGGTTGCACAAGTTTGCATTCCCACCAGCAATGGATGAGTGTACCCCTTACTCCACAACCTCTCCAGCAAAGGCTATCATTGGTGTTTTTGAGTTTAGCCATTCTGACAGGTGTAAGATGGTATCTTAAAGTTGTTTTGATTTGCATTTCCCTGATTGCTAAGGAAGTTGAGCATGACCTTAAGTGTCTTTTGGCCATTTGAACTTCTGTTGAGAATTCTCTGTTCAGCTCAGTGCCCCATTTTATAATTGGGTTGATTAGCCTTTTACAGTCTAGTTTCTTGAGTTCTTTATATATTTTGGAGATCAGACCTTTGTCAGTTGCGGGGTTGGTGAAGATCTTCTCCCAGTCAGTGGGTTGCCTTTTTGTCTTAGTGACATTGTCCTTTGCTTTACAGAAGCTTCTCAGTCTCAGGAGGCCCCATTTATTCAATGTTGCCCTTAATGTCTGTGCTGCTGGGGTTATACATAGGAAGTGGTCTCCTGTGCCATGTGTTGTAGAGTACTTCCCACTTTCTCTTCTCTCAGGTTCAGTGTGTTCAGACTGATATAGAGGTCTTTAATCCATTTGGACTTGAGTTTTGGTGCACCCACACACTGAGACAATGGGGGTGTTCTATTGGGAACTCACCAAGGCCATCTGGCCTGGGTCTGAAAAAGCGTGGGATAAAACTGGACTCGCTGAACATAGCGGACAATGAAGACTACTGAGAACTCAAGAACAATGGCGATGGGTTTTTGATCCTACTGCATGTACTGGCTTTGTGGGAGCCTAGACAGTTTGGATGCTCACCTTACTAGATCTGGATGGAGGTGATTGGTCCTTGGACTTCCCACAGGGCAGGGAACCCTGATTGCTCTTTGGGCTGACTAGGGAGGGAGACTTGATTGGGGGAGAGGAAGGGAAATGGGAAGTGGTGGCGGGGAGGAGGCAGAAATCTTTAATAAATAAATAAATAAATTTAAAAAATTGATAAAAAGAACATAGAAATAATAAATGAGACATGATTAAAAGACAAAAAATGTTTTAATAGTTATATAGCAGTTAAAAATTGCTAATAACTATTCTAAAATTTTTGCATGTATATATTTTAACTCATTTAACTCCCACAACCCTATGAAATAGATGACTTCATTATCTCTGTTACAGATGAAAGGTACAGGGACAAAGAACCTAAATAAATCATCCAGAATAGTGAAACTATGAAATGTTAGATATTTTATCCCACTCCACTGATAAAATAGTTTATATAACTATGAAATGCCATCATTGTATTGCTGTAATTGATGTTTATATTACCTCCTACGTTGAAATCACAATCCCTATTGTTTTTTTTTAATTTTTCCATTTAAAAATTTTCACTTCCTCCCCTCCTCCCATTCCCCTCCCGCTCCCCCACTCACCCTCCTTCCTCCTCCTCCAGTCTTAAGAGAAGTCAGGGTTCTGCCCTGTGGGAAATTCAAGGCCCTCCCCGCTCCAACCAGGCTTAGAAAGCTGTGAATCCAAACAGACTAGGGTCTCAAAAAGCTAGTAGATGTAGTAGAAAAAAGTCCCAGTGACATTATCAATGGCTTCTCAGTCAGCCCCCATCGTCAGCCACATTCAGAGAGTCCGGTCTGGTCACATGCTCGTTCGGCTCCCAGTAAGCTGGCTTTGGTGAGCTCCCATTAGATAAGGCACACTGTCTCAGTGGGTGGACCAACCTCTCGTGGTCCAGACTTCCTTGCTCATCTCCCTCCTTCTGCCCTTCAATTGGACCTCTAGCCATAAACAAGGGACATTGAGCCTATAGTTCACAAACCTAGAGAAGCCAAATAATAAGGTGAATCCAAAGAAAAGCATATATAGATCCTCTTAGAAATTGGAAGCAGACAAGATTGCAGGGCAAAAGTTGGGAGCAAGGGGGTGGATGTAGGTGTGGGGTTGGGGGAAGTAGAGAGAGGGAGAGAGAAAGGAGAAGGGAAGGATTGGGCAGAGCTTGGGGGAGTGGGAGGGTTGAGATGGAGGAAGGGTGTATATAGGAACAGGGAAGAAGATATTTTAATTAAGGGAACCATTTTAGGGTTGGCAAGAGACTTGGCTCTAGAGGGGATCCCAGGTGTCCACAGGGATGTCCCCAGCTTGTTCCTTGGGCAGCAGAGGAGAGGGTGCCTGAACTGGCCTTGTCCCAAAGTCACACTGGTGAATATCTCGAGTATCACCATAGAACCTTTGTCCGGTGATGGATGGAGATAGAGACAGAGACCCACATCAGAGCACTGGACTGAGCTCACAGTCCCCATTGTATTGGTCTTAGGAGGTAGAGTTTTTGGAACCTGATTATGTCATAATGATGATGTTGACTTGTTGAGAGAGTGTTCATATGAAAGAAAATTCAAAGAGCTAGCTATCCCCTTCTCCCACATGCAGGGCTAACAAAACATCAAGATACGTGAGACGTAAGTCCTTCACATGCCTTAAACATGCTGATCCATTTAGCTTGCGACACGTTTCCTCTAAAATTCTTGCTTATAAGTTTATAATATGTTTGTAGAAACATCGGGGTTGGATCTGCAACATGACTGATAACTGAGTAAAATATTTTACCTCTCAAATGTGAAGAGAAAATAGTTTAAATTGGGAATTTTCTAGCAGCTAAATTAGCAGGTTGAGAGCTGTGGTCCATCTTTCTGTGTTTCAGCTTCTCTCAGCATTCTTTTCCTCAGTTACATCATTACACACCACAATCAAATGAAAAGCATTATTTGCCTTTAGTGTTTGGTTTTGTATGTAGACCAGAAATGCACGTCATACTTTTTATTGCTGACATGATGCAGATAAACTACATTCAAAAAGTTGTTCCCTAATACAAATGGTGGAAAGAGAAGGAATAAACCAAACATTGCTGAGAAATTTTAAAAATAATCTCTATTTTCCTCCTTCTTTTCCTTCTCCTTCCTTCTCTCCCTTTTTCTCCTTCCTTCCTCCCCTCTCCCACCTTCTCCTTTATTTTTACAATTATATAATGAAGTAACTAATCAGTGGGTTGTATTTAATCTTACGTTTCTAACTTACTACTCATTTATCAAATTACCTAACTCATTTGTTTTCAGGCCAAACAAATATTTTATACCTTATATCTATAGAGTGGTTTA